TTTGGAAGTAGCATGTCTTTAATAGTCTTATCAATTACCTTGCCACTTCTTAGTGTAGTGACAACTTGGGCTTGAGCTCGTGGAGTTTCCATGATTGCAGAATTTTTCACCTGAAATTAGCCTTGTGGTAGTTTTGGGTTGGGCAGGAAACTTGCCCTTCTCATGTGTGGCCATGGATTGGGTCAACTTTTGGATGTGGCTTTTAGGATCCTTGAAAGATTGAGTGGTATGTGTTTTGGAATCAGTAAAATCCTGAGTGGAACTATTGTTGAAGTTTATTTGGCTATGCATAAACTGATTCAATGTTTCCTCATGGTTCCTCTTTTGTGGTGGTTAGTATACAGGAGGTGGGTGCGAACCTTGTTGTTGGTTCATGGGAGTTGGTTGTGTGTTCTTCCAACTGAAGTTTGGGTGGTTCTGTCACCTTGGATTGTATGTTTCAGAGTATGGGTTGGAGCAAGGTTTGTTGAAGTTGGAGACAAGATTTGTTTGGTCCAACAGAACCTCCTTGAATGTCAGAATGGTAGGACACTCCCCAGTAGGGTGTCCTGTCAGCGCACAGATCCCACACACTTGTTCTATGGGAGAGCTAACATCAATTTGATGAACCTTTTTCATCTCTAAAACTTCAAGCTTTCGAGACAGGATGGACATTTTTGCTCTTAGGTCATCGTCATCTTTCAATACATACTTATCCCCTTGGGAAGTAGATGGTTTGGCTTCAACAGTGATAGGAGAGGCAGAGTCCCACATCTGAAAACTTTCAGATATGGTGTTAAAGAAATCGAATGCCTCCTCTAAACTTTTTCCCATAAACTCTCCTTGAGCCATCATTTCAGCAAACTAGCGTAGTCTACTGGGCAAGGAGTCATTGAAAAATCCTACCAAAGTCCAATTCTCAAAAGTATGGTGTGGGCAGGACTAGAGAAGATCTTTGAATCTTTCCCAGCTTTGGTAAAAAGTTTCCCCTTCTTTAATCAAAAAGTTCATGATTTGTCTTTTAAGTGCATTAGTGAGATGTAGAGGAAAAAATTTTCTGAAAAATTCATTTTGTAGTGCCTACCAGTTAGGTATTGAAAGAGCTTTTAAAGAATTTGTCATTGTTTAGCTTTGTCCCTCAAAGAAAAAGGGAAAAGTTTCACTTTGGCCAGTTCAGAATTGTCTTGAAAGGTTCCACATACTTCCTCAAAATCTTTTATGTGCAGATATGTGTTTTCTGTTTCGAGTCCATGGAATTGAGGGAGTAGTTGAACTGTCTCCGTCTTTACAGTAAAGTGGGGTGCATCTTCAAGAAAGATAAAATAAGAGGAGACACTATTTCTTGTGGGATTTAAGTAATCCCTCAGAGTTCGAATGTTAGGTACTTCCCCCTCTCTTATTGGAATTTCTTCTCGTCTCTCACCATTCGCAATTTTACTTTCACAAGAGTCTGTTACTAATCTAGGTGAAAGTGGTTCAGATTGATTCATAGACCTAGAAGATTCAGTTGGCAAATTTTGATAGTGAGGAGTGTTTTTAGACAAAAAAGTAATTAAAACAACTTTATATAAAGTAAAGCAAATTTATACAAAAAGTGAGGTCTTTTACCTTTTACCGTAAAACACCTTTTATAGCTCCCCGGCAATGGGCCAAAAAGTTGACTTGATCCGAAATGTGTACACCCAAGTGCACGCGATCAAATTGTAGTAATAATCCGATTATGTCCGGAGTCGAATCCACAGGGAACTATGATTGGTATTTTGAAGTAAGCAATAATAGAGACCAAGTAACAGGAAATTTCGAGAATTTGGAGTGATGGGGTTTCTTGAACATAATAGAGGATTCTTTTCAAGAGTTTTCTAGACAAAATATAAGATTTTCAAAATGTAACAGCCACCCTTTAGTTTGATAATTAGAACATGTAATTGACTATCCGGTTTATTATGTTTGTATTTTATAACTCAATTAACTCCCGTGTCAACAGCAAGTTAATCGGAAGATAAAGATGGAATGTGACAATTAAGCACATGATTCTGATGCCTTTCTAGAAGTTTACAAGAATTGTCTATGCCAANTGATGTCTTTCTAGAAGTTTACAAGAATTGTCTATGCCAAGACTTAACCCATCTACAAACAAGCAAGTGTTTCTACATGGCATCCAACCAGGGCATTAATGGTCCATCCTTCGAATAAAGCGCAATAATAGTGGAGATTGAAAGGTTGTCATGAAGAGCTAGCCGAGGTGTTTGCCTTGAACCAACGGGTCTTTCTATGCAGGAGTCATTCGTATCATAGAAGGAACCCTTGGTTATGCAAAGTACCTTAACTTTGCTAGATGCATTCAATCATCCAATGAGCAAGTGTAATATAAAGCATTAAAGAATAAAGGAGTTGCACAAACATAACTTNCAGGAGTCATTCGTATCATAGAAGGAACCCTTGGTTATACAAAGTACCTTAACTTTGCTAGATGCATTCAATCATCCAATGAGCAAGTGTAATATAAAGCATTAAAGAATAAAGGAGTTGCACAAACATAACTTCCAGATAATCTTTATATATTCATCACCTCTTACTAAAGAGTGAATGAGGAACTACTCACTCTTCATGGCCTTGGCAAAGCTAGAAAAGTGAGTGATTCTCATCCCTCCAAGTAGAGGAGCTACTATATGAACCAAACTAAACAAAGAGCTTATCTTCAATGAAGAATAAGTGAATCACTTTCCACCCTTCACGGCTTTGGTAAAGCTCTTGAAAANTCTCATCCCTCCAAGTAAAGGAGCTACTATTTGAACCAAACTAAACAAAGAGCTTATCTTCAATGAAGAATAAGTGAATCACTTTCCACCCTTCACGGCTTTGGTAAAGCTCTTGAAAAGTGGAAGAGTTTCACTCTTCTAAGAAAGAAGGATGCTCAAGCAATGGAAGTGAAATACATGAACAATAAAAGTAGAAGAAAGCTAGTTACTTTTGGAGGGTTTTCACCACAACCAAAAGATGAGCTATCTCTCTTGATACTTGTAAATAAAAACAAGTACAACTACAAGGAGAGCCTAAGCCTCCATCATGGTTTTCACAATATAAAAGTAAAGATTTAACATAAATAAATAATAGACTTCAACTACAAGGGGAGTCTAAGCCTCCATCATGGTTGATACTAAAATGAAACAAGCAATGTATACAAACTAGTTTTCTAATTTACTAGAGAAGAAAAATTACTAAGAAGAGAAGCTCTCTATTTTACGAGAAAAAAGGATGCCCTTTAAGCTCCCAATGTGGGAGTATTTATAGGCAAAAAGGGGAGGGGGGATAGGAGATAAGAGANCAGAGAAGACAAATTACTAAGAAGAGAAGCTCTCTACTTTACGAGAAAAAAGGATGCCCTTTAAGCTCCCAATGTGGGAGTATTTATAGGCAAANTAGAGAAGAAAAATTACTAAGAAGAGAAGCTCTCTATTTTACGAGAAAAAAGGATGCCCTTTAAGCTCCCAATGTGGGAGTATTTATAGGCAAAAAGGGGAGGGGGGATAGGAGATAAGAGAGGATGAGTGAATAGTATTTGCTGCCCATGAAAACCAACTACTCTGTAGGCAGTCTGTGGAGGACATTCGAACATGAATCTACGTTCGAACCTTGTCTTCTATTTTGCTTTAGGGACGTTCAAAAGTTGACTGTAGTTCAAACGTTGCTTCTGGTCTTGCTTTACAAGCGTTCGAACACCAGATGGGGCCTGACCTTTTCCACTCAAGTGGTTTTCTGTCAAAGTNGTTGTCTTCTGTTTTGGTTTAGGGACGTTCAAAAGTTAACTGTCGTTCAAACGTTGCTTCTGGTCTTGCTTTACAAGCGTTCGAACACCAGATGGGGCCTGACCTTTTCCACTCAAGTGGTTTTCTGTCAAAGTTCGCTTTCAAACTCTATGCAGAAGTCTATTTTTCAATTGATTCCAAAGGACGTTTGAATGTTGAATGGCGTTCGAATGTNCTTGTCTTCTATTTTGCTTTAGGGACGTTCAAAAGTTGACTGTAGTTCAAACGTTGCTTCTGGTCTTGCTTTACAAGCGTTCGAACACCAGATGGGGCCTGACCTTTTCCACTCAAGTGGTTTTCTGTCAAAGTTCGCTTTCAAACTCTTTGCAGAAGTCTATTTTTCAATTGATTCCAAAGGACGTTTGAATGTTGAATGGCGTTCGAATGTGGTACACAAGTGCTTCAAAGTCCTCCTTTGTTTGTTGCAACATGCCATGTCTCATCAGTCTGGCCTTCAATCAACTCAATTGGATGTTTGAATGTTAGTTGGCATTCAAACGTGGTACTCAAGTACCTCAGGGTCTTGGTACTTTTCTGCAACACACTGTCTCAGCAGGCTGGTTCTTTCATAGTTCAGATGGACGTTTGAACGTGATTTGGCATTTGAACGTTCTTGCTTTATCCCCAGCCTGTCCAATTTTATTCCCTAATGTGTTGGTGTGACATTCAAGCGTGACTTTTGTTGCCCTCGAGCCCTTGTTCACTTTAGAACATGCAATATCTTTACTTGAACTCTATCAAAGTATAATTAGTCTTAAAATGGCATAATAATATGCTACATTTAAGTGCTGCTCATCCGTCATAGCCAAAGGCAATAAGTCTTGTATGGGTAGTTGTAAGCTTCGATTTGATATATTATGGGCCCCATAACTCCAGACGAATCAAAAGTTACGGTCAAAACAATGTCCACCCTTCTTGGACTTGGATTTTCGGAGACTTTTTTTGACTGACAACCCCTTTCCTTCTTGATATGTAAACTCCTTTTGCCCGTAGGACATCTTCAACTCCAAAAACTTCTCATTTTACTTCCCATTTGGATTCTAAACGAACCCTAGGTTATAAATTGGGGCTTTTGCTTTCAATTCCTCATTTCATGATTTTGAGATAGGGTTTCTAGTGAGGTTCCCAGGAACAAAAGTGAGAGAGAATATTTGTGATCCCATTCAGAGTCTTGTGTTCAAAGTTGATGTCAAGTGAAGGAGAATAGATACGAAGGTCCACCGGAGTTCATGGCGCTGAGGCAAGAGATCTGGAAGTTGCTAGGGTTGTGGTGACTGAAGGAGGAGTTGGTAGGGAATCTGCTCACCAGACAGGGGTCACCGTGGTCGTTGAGGAACTTGGGCACCAAGATGGTGTAAGCGNCGATCTGGAAGTTGCTAGGGTTGTGGTGACTGAAGGAGGAGTTGGTAGGGAATGTGCTAACCAGACAGGGGTCACCGTGGTCGTTGAGGAACTTGGGCACCAAGATGGTGTAAGCGAGTATAGGCATTCCCCGGCATACTTGATGGGAGTGTTGTCGGGGCTAATCAAGATTAGACCATCTCCACCTCCTTCGCTAGTTAAGGAACCATCCATGTAGAGTTTCTAGGGAGGCGGTTGAAAGGGGCCCTTGGAGGCTGTGGTGGGTGCTGAGGTGCTCACTTTTGGTGTTGGGACTCCTTGGGTGACCTTGTTGGGTGTCAGGGTGTCGAAGGCACCAACCCTTGGTGCTTGAGTGTCCAGATGAGTTTTTGATGAGGCTTCCTAAGGTGTCGAGGGTCCACTGCCCTCCTCCTCCACCATGTGAGCTCGGCAACAAAGTCGGCCAAGGTTTGTGCTTTGATGGCTGCCCTTAGTTGGTATTCAACATCGAACTCGCCCAGTTCTACGACCACTTTAGGAGTCTTCCAGAGACGTTTGGCTTCCCTAAAACTCTTTTCAGGGGCTAATCTATGACCACGACGATGGTGTGACTCTGGAAGTAATGTCGAAGACGCCTTGCTGTTGAGATTAGGGCGAGCGCCAGCTTTTCTAACCCTGAATATCTTATTTATGCTCCTCGATATGCCCTGTTTATGTAATAAATAGGCTTTTATATTCCTTTATTGTCCCTGATGAGGACAGAGCTTATAGCTAATAGGGAAGCAAAGAGGTACAAATATAAAGTTTCACTTAGCATGGCATGTGAAAGGAGGGGAGGCGTAGCCAAATAAGCTGAGTTTTTGAAAAGCTTCTTCTGCCTCAGATCCCCATTCAAAGGCTTTCCGAAAAATCTTGAAGAAGTGTAAGCACTTATCTACAGACTTTGAAACAAATCTGTTGAGTGCTGCAATTCTTCCGTTGAGGTGCTGGAGCTCCTTGGTTATAGTGGGTGACTTCATATCCAAGATGGCTTTGATCATGTCAATATTTGTCTCGATTCCTCTCTGGTTGATCATGAAGCCTAAGAACTTTCCTGATCCGACGTTAAAGGCGCAATTCTCCGGGTTTAGCTTCATGCGGTATGACCTGAGAACATCGAGGGTTTCTTAGAGGTGGTCTACTGCGGTGAGGCTTTTTACCAGCATATCGTCCACGTATACTTCCAATGTTCTCCCGATCTGAAATTGAAACATCTTGTTCACTAGTAGTTGGTAGGTTGCTCCTGCATTTTTTAGTCTGAAGGGCATGACCCTATAACAGTAGGTCCCCTTCGAAGTGATGAATTTCGTCTTCTCCTAGTCTGGGGGATGCATGCTGATTTGGTTATATCTAGAGTATGCGTCCAAGAATGTGAGTAGCTCGTGGCCTACAGTGCCGTAGATGAGGATGTCGATTCATAGCAATGGGTAACTGTCTCTTGGGCATGCCTTATTAAGCTCAGTGAAGTTAATGCAGAGACACCACTTTCCATTAGTTTTGGTTACCATTACCATGTTTTATAGCCACTCTGGATATGATACTTCTCTTATGCCCCATTTTCTGTTAGTTTTTCCACCTCCCTGTCCATTGTTTGTGCCCTTTCAGTGGAGACGTTCGTTAACTTTTGGCGAACAGGCTTGTAATGAGGGTCGACATTGAGGTGGTGGGTGGAGGCCTCATGGTCTATGCCCTCGAGGTCTTCATATGACCATGCAAAAATATCCATATTGTGCCTTAGAAAATCTATAAGTTGATGGGCTAGATTCTAAAGAATGGAGGAGCCAATGTACACTTTTCTGTCCGGATGCTCCTCATCTAGGACCATTGGTGTAAGCTCCTCTACTGGTTCTCCTCTTTTTAATATGGCATCATCCCTCGGGTCAAGGACCTTCACTTGTAGGGCCTCTTGTGGCCTCCTGGTCTTCATTAAGGAGATGTAGCATTGTCTTGTAGCAACCTAGTCTCCCCAGACCTCTCTGATTCCATTCGGGGTTGGAAAACAGAGGATCAAATGATAGGTGGAGGGCACGACTCTTAGGGTGTTGAGAGCTGGTCGCCCAAGGATAACATTATATGTCGATGGGTAGTCTATCACCAGAAAATTTTTCATGATCGTGGAGCTTTGAGGTGCTATCCCGGTAGTGACAAACAAACTGATGGATCTTAGGGGGTAAACCTTTTTTTCAGAGAATCCGATAAGAGCCGATCTAATGGGTTGCAATCTTTATCTCACTAGGTTGAGCTTGTCATATACTTCTATGAACAAGATGTTCACAAAGTTGTCNTTTTTCAGAGAATCCGATAAGAGCCGATCTAATGGGTTGCAATCTTTCTCTCACTAGGTTGAGCTTGTCATATACTTCTATGAACAAGATGTTCACAAAGTTGTCGCTATCTACCAAAATCCTTCATACTTAGAAGTTGGCAACAGTCATGGTTAGCACCAGCGGGTCCTTCCAGTCATGGTTGGCAACAGTCATGGATTCCCTCCAGGCCCTTGTCTGAGAAAGATATGACCTCATCATTTCCTTGCTTCCGTGTCTTAGACGAGCGCTGGTCATCAACGTTCCTTGCCTTTCTGGCATGGGCTTTCATGGAGAAGAATGATTCTCCTTCTTCTGCGAGCCCTCCAAAGATGGTGTGAATTTCTCCAATGGGTTGCTAGTCCTCCTGATTATGTGGCAGTGGCGGTGGCGGTGCCTGATCCCTACCAGCAATAACATACTGGCGTAGATGACCACGTTATATGAGCTCCTCAATTTATTTTTTGAGATCATAACAATCGTCTGTGTCGTGGTTGTGATCACAATGGAAACGGCAATATTTGTTTGGATTCCTATGGTTTAGGGGAGATTTCATTCCCCCTGGCCACTTTACTGCGGGGTCATCCTGGATCTGGAATAAGATGTGTTCGACAGTGGGGTTGAGAGGAATGAAGATTTGTCGATCTCTCTGAAGGGCCAGATCAAGTTTACTTGATCCGAAATGTGTACACCCAAGTGCAAGCAGTTAATTTATAGTAATAATCTGGTTAAGTCCAAAATCGAATCCATAGGGAACTACGATTAATGTTTCGAAGTAAGCAATGATAGAGGCCAAGTAACTGGAAACCTATAAATTTTGAAGTTACGAGATTTTCTAGATAGAATATAAGATTCTTTCCAAAAAAAATTTCTAGACAAAATATAATATAAGATAAATGATCAAATGTAATAGCCACCCTTTAGCTCGAGGATCAGAACATGTAGTTAATCATCCAGTTTATTATACTTGTACTTGATAACTTAATTAACCCCCATGTCAACATAAAGTTAATTGGAAGATAAAAATGAATTGTGAGAATTAAGATCATGATTCCGATGTCATTGTAGAGGTTTACAATAATTGTCTGTGTCAAAACTCAACCCGTCTACAAACAAGCAGGTGTCTCTACAAGGCATCCAACCATGGTGTTAATATTTCATTCTTTAAATGAAACACAATAATGGTGAAAATTGAAATGTAGTCATAAAGATCTAGCTGGGGTACTTGCCTTGAACCAACGGGTCTTTCTATGCAAGAGTCATCAATGTCATAGAAAGCACCCATGGTTATACAAAGTACTTTTAGCTTTGTTAGATGCATTCAATCATTCAATAAATAAGTGTAATATAAAGCATTAAACATAAACGAGATACACAAATATGACTTCTGAATGATTTATACATGTCCTTCACCTCTTACTAAAGAGTAAATGAGAAACTACTCACTCTTCATGACTTTGGTAAAGGTAGAAAAGTGAGTGATGCTCATCCCTCTAAGTATAGGAGTTACAAAGTACAACACACTAAATAAGGAGCCGATCTTCGACGAAGAATGAGTAAATCACGTTCCACCCTTCACGGCTTTGGTAAAGCTCTAGAAAAGTGGAAGAGTTTTACTCCTCTAAGGAAAAAAGGAAGCTCAAACAATGGAAGTAAATAAAGTTAATAAAGAAAGTACAAGAAAGCTATTCACTTTTGGAGGGTTTCCTCCTCAACCAAAAGATTATCTATCTTTCTTCTATGCAAGTAAATGTAAATGTAAATCTAATTATACAACTAACTCTACAAGTCTTGGTCTAGTGTAAGACTAAAGCCAAGCTCCTCAAGTCCTAGTGTAAGTCTTGAAGCTCCCATAATGAGGGTATTTATAGGCAAAAAGGGGGGGCAAGGGAGTGTGGAGGAATAGTGTAATGCCTTGAAAGTCCAAGTGAAAGCCCAATGTCTAGAAAAAAAAATCAACCACTCTGCAGCCTGTCTAGGGACAAAGTTTGAACGTTGTCTAGCATTCGAATGTTGTATTATGTCTTTGCCTGATGGGCATTCGAATGCCTAATGTAGTTTGAACCTCCTACTCAAGTAGTCTATGTTCCTCTGTGAGAGTTACTTCCATACACCTTGAACCACTGATCTTGCACTCATTTGCCTAGTCCTCAATAGTTGAGGAGAAAGTTTGAACATGAGTTGGCGTTCGAACGTGGAACTCAAGTACCTCAGTGTTTTCCTTCTCACCTGCAACAAGTCATGGCTCAGCATTTCAACAGTATAGTCTTCAAATAATTCAAGGGAGTGTTCGAACGTGAGTTAGCGTTCGAACATTCTTTCTTTGTTCCAAGCTTTTTCAATTTTGTCCCCCAATATGCTGGTGATGTATCTAACTTTGATATTTGTTGCCTTTGAGTCCTTGTTCACTTTAGGACCTGAAATTTCATCATTTAAACTCCATCAAAGTATAAATAGCCTAAAAAAGGCATAACGATATGCTAATTTTAACTACTAATCACAAGTCAATCTTTGGCAGACACCCTTTTTGTCCTATCTCATTTGTTTCCACTCTCCTTTTTATCCTCTCTATCTCTTTCCTTTCTTTTCTCCCTTGTTCATGAGGATTCACCTCACTTGGCCCTAGTGATGTTCTCAGCATTCATATTCCTCTGAGCTTTTGTCAGCAGCTTCGGCATACTCTTTGGTGAGCAAAGACCTCACTGAAAATAGGAAGCTTGGTGAACGAAGACCTCCCAAGAAGGCGGTCATGGTGACCTTATTGTCGGGTTCCTAAATCTGAATGACCTCCTTGTTAAAACGAGTGAGGTAACTCCTCATTCTCTCATCTCGATCCTGCTTTATACTGAGCAAGTGGGTGACATGTTTCTGGTGGCGGCGCCCTCCAATGAAGTGCGATTCAAAGGAACTGCTTAGCTCCGCAAAAGAGACAATAGAAGTTGGGGTGAGTTTGGCGAACCATTATCGAGCTGATCCCTTCAAGGTAGTTGGGAATGCCCTACACATGATTTTGTCGAGGGCGTTGTGCAGCTGCATTAAAGTCTTGTAAGTTTCGAGGTGATCAAGTGGGTCCTTTGTACCGTCAAAAATTTCTACGGATGACATTTTGAATTTTTTGGGAAATGGGTAGTTCACTACATCTGGTACAAAGAGTATGTCAATTCGCCTTACTAGATAATCCACGATTTTGGGTTCTTGTGCCTTTATGGCGTTGAAGACGTCGCCTAGCTGATTCTGCACTTCTTTGACTTTTTTGTCCTAATGGTTGGGAGCTCCTTTGGAATTGTTATGAAAATGGCTCTCATGCTCCACGCTTTGATTGTTGCCCTTATCCTCTTGGAAATGGGGGTCTCCACCATGAGAAGAGGGAGCTGGAGGTCCCTCATGGTTCTAGTGTGGGCTCCCCTGTATGGGGCACCCAAGGGAGGTCCCAATGGGGCGCCCAAGTGGGGAGCTCCTTGACGCTCGGGGCGTGGAGCTCATCTAGCTTGAGGTCCTCCTAGTTGTGCTCCTCTTTATTGTCCAGCGAGCATTAGTTGCATGATCTACTAATTTTGAGTTACAAGTTGTTGTATTGTTTCCAACATCTGTTGTGCATTTGAAACATGATTGGTTGATGGAGAAGCAACCTCCTCCTCTCGTGGTAGGTTGTCTTCAGGTTGATTCATAGATATGGTGGTGATTGCCATAGGTACAGCAAGAAAAACGATTAGGTGAGAATTTTGTCGATTTTCATAGATGGCGTCAAATTGATGATGCACCAATTGGGTTTATAAACCACCGGTCAAGTGATCAGTAATTAATGCAGTAATAAAGTAGAAAGAGAAAATAATTCAAGCAAGACAATGATATAAAGTGGTTCGGTTAACTTAACCTACGTCCACTATAAAGAGCTAGGATGATCTGGATATTTTATTACTTCGAGGAGTGTAGGGAAATAAGGGAGATACAAACTATGAGAGAGAGAGATGAGAGTGATAGCAGATGTGCTCGATTGTGAGTGGTGCCCCCCAAGTATTGGCGGGACTTTCAATTTATAGGTGTCTCCTAATAGATTGAGGCAGCTTATTAGTAACTAAGTACCTAATCTGGTGGAGCAAGCGTTATCTTCTCAACGGATGAGGCAATTACAGAGCTCCCCTTAAGATCAGGTCCAAGGATGACGTGGTGGTTGAATTTTTTCAAGGTGGCGTGGATGAGACTCTCAGGATAACCCTGCCTCCTTTTATGATGTAGCTCCCTGAATCCTAATGAGCTTGATTGGGCGTTAACCTCTTTTAGACTGGAGTCACCGAATCTCTTCAAGTTGGACTCTTAATCCAGACTAGACTTATAACATTAATTAAGCCCTTGAACTTGACCCATCACATTTCACAGACGTTTTTATACATAGAGTAATATGTATAATCTCTAATTTAATTTTTACCCTTTCTTATGACTTCGTATTCAATTCAATACATAAGCAACTTCATATGACTTTGAAGATACATAGTCTTATACCACATGTTAAAAGATTATAAAATGAATTAATTTTACTACAGTATGACAATAAATAATCTTAAGTAAACCAACTAAATAAGTTTTGGTCTTTATTCTTTTAATTATCACGATGAGGTTTTGTTTTTTTTTTTTTGAATGATCATTATGATGAGGTTGAATATACTTTTTTGAAAGTAAAACAAAAAAAAAAAACTAATTTTGCTTATTATTAAGACGAATTACTAAAAATTATAATTATCAAGTTATTATGCAGTAATAAAAATATATTTATATCTTTATGATAGACATACCTTTGCGGTATTCGATATTTTGTTTTTTTTAAGATTTTATTGTTACATTAAATCTATATCATATAATACCCCTTTTTTTTATATATACATACTTCTACCTTCCAAAGGGCGGCTCATAGAATTGGATTTCTTACGATCAAAAAAAAGAATTGATTCACGAAATTTATTTGCAGCTAAAGATCTTATCGACGCACAGAATGTGCAAGCAATTTTGGGACCCCGCTCCTGGGAAGAAGCAAAAATAGTTGCAGAGGTGGGTACTCAATCCCGCGTATCTACTCTCTCTTTTGCTGATTTTCCTCCTTCGGCAACGAACCGGTGGCCCTTCCTCATTCAAGCCTCCTCGCCCAGCCAACGTATACAAACGAAAGCTCTGGCCGCCATTTTTCAGTCTTGGGGATGGCGGAGAGTCATTGTGACATATGAAGTCATTGAATCCGTTGCCAATGGAATTATCCCTCATCTCTATGATTCTCTACGAGAAACAGGTGCAGAAATAAGCAATTTTACGGTCCTCTCACCTTTTATTACTTCGTCCTCACTGGCTAAAGAGCTTGAGAGGCTTAAGGAAGAGCAATGCAGAGTAAAGAAGATGGGTATGATGGAAAAGGATTACGTATGCATCACTACAGACACCACCACAAATCTTGTTCATTCTTTGAATTTATCCACAATCTTCTCCATGCAAGGCGTTCTAGGAATCAAGAGCTATTTTCCTGAGTCAGAGACACATTTTCAAGATTTCCACAGAAGATTTCGTGACAAGTTTGGCTTGGATTATCCGGAAGAAAAAAACCATGACCCTGGAATTTTCGCGGTCCAAGCGTACGATGCTACGTGGGCAGTCGCTTTTGCAGTACATGGAGGCAGCATTAATGGCCAGAATTTGTAAGAAAGAATTTTGGTTACTGATTTCATTGGCTTATGCGGTAGAGTCAAATTTGTTGAACGAAAATTAGCTCCAGCAACTGTTCTTCAAATCATCAACGTGGTTGGTAAAAGTTGATGGATCAAGCCCAAAATGGCCCACTGTGCAAAGTCCAAATTCCAATTGAGAAGTTCAACCTCATTTAAAGATCCACCAAGTCCAACATAACCCAAGACCAAGTTAGACTCTTTGCTTAGCCACGTCATCAAAGGGGAGAGTATGGGAAGCCTTACCTGCATAGCCGAAGGAAACGGTTCACCCTCACCATATCTTTGACCGCATCTCATGGAGAGCTCCTCAATCACCTCGCTCGTTGAGAAGAGATCGCGAGCTCCACCGAAATGGTTGTTTAGTCACTGAAAAGTAGCCCCAACCCGTTAGAGAGCCACTATAAATTGCACGCCCCACTAAGACATGAAAAACTACACTAATTACCTGGGCATCACATTTTCCCTGAGCACGATTCTCTCTTCTCCTTCAAAACTTGTACTCTCTACTCCCCACTCCCTTGAGTTAATAAAATACCCAGCAAACAAAAGTCATTGAAGAGGGGACGTAGGTCAAGCTGACCGAACCAATATAAATTATCTGTGTCTTTCTATCTCCTATTATTAATTTTCTTGCATTTATTATTCACACTTGACAGGTGGTGTGCAAAATTATTTTGTGCATCATAGGTCAAACTGACCGAACCACTATAAATTGTCTGTGTCTCTCTATCTCCCATTATTAACTTTCTTGCATTTATTATTCACACTTGACAGGTGGTGTGCAAAACTATTTTGTGCATCGTCAGTTTGGCACCGTCTGTAGGAAGAAGACAAAATTCTCACCCCTGAACATTCCATCCACTGAACCAATGACGATCACTACCCGATCCATAACCAACACAAAGACAGTCCACCACGAGAGGAAGAGGTTGCTCCTCCACCAGCCAACCCTGTCCCGAATGCTCTAGCTCCGAATTTCCAGCAAATGTTGGAGACCATACAGCAGCTGGTGGCCCAAAACCAACAGCTACTGTAACTCATGCTTGCTGGACAAGGAGGAGCACAAATTGGAGGTGCACAACATGGAGGACCCCAAGGAGGAGCACAACTCAGAGGTGCACAACATGGAGGACCCCAAGGAGCTCCACGCCCTGCTGCTCCACGCCTAGGTGCCCCCTTAGGAGTCCCCTTGGAAGCCCCACTCAGGGGGAGCCCAACATGAGGGAGTTCCACCTCCCCCTCCTCTTACTTCCCATGGAGAGGACCCTCATCTCCAAGAGGATGAGGGCGAAAACCAAAGTATTGAGCATGGAAGTCATGTCCATGATCATTCTAGAGGAGCCCCCAATCATTGGGACGAGAAAATCAAGGAAGTACAAAATCAACTGGGTGATGTCTTCAACACCATGAAGGCACAGGGTCCCAAGACTGTAGACCACTTGGTAAGGCGTACGGATACGCCTTTCAAACCTGATATAGCGAACTACCCCCTTCCTCAGAAGTTCAAAATGCCATTTGTGGAGACCTTTGATGGAACAAAGGATCCACTAGACCACCTCGACACTTACAAGACTTTGATGCAGTTGCACAACGTACCAGACGAAATCATGTGCAGGGCATTCCCAACCACGTTGAAGGGGTCTGCCCGACAGTAGTTTGCTAAGCTCTCCCCCGCCTCCATTGCCTCCTTCGCTGAGCTTAGCAGATCATTCGTTTCACATTTCATTGGAGGGTGTCGCCACCAGAAGCCTATTACGCACCTGCTTAGTATAAAGCAGGACCACAAGGAGAGCCTGAGAAGTTACCTCACTCGTTTTAACGAGGAGGTACTCCAAATTGATGAACCCGATGACAAGGTGACGATGACCGCCTTCTTGGGTGGCCTCCGTTCATCAAGATTTCTTTTCTTAATGATAAAGCACCCACCGAGGAGTATGCCAGAGCTACTAGCCAAGGCCCAAAAGTATATGAATGCAGAAGACATCACAAGGGCCAGGCGAGGTGAGTCCTACAGAACATGGGAGAAAAAGAAGGAAAGGGAGAAGGACGATAAGAAGGAGACTAGCAACAAGCATGGTAGAACAAAGAGAGTCCCTGTCAAGGACCAGCTAGGTCCTGCTCCTCAAAGGGACTGTCAACCCTTCACTCCCCTCAATGCTACCGTAGGACACATCCTATTCTAGATCCAAAAGACTCTGCGATAAAGTGGCCTAGAAAAATGAAGTCTCCTCCAAATCGCAGAAATCCAAATAGGTATTGCCACTTCCATCGAGACCATGGGCATGACACCGATGAATGCTATGACCTCAAAAGGCAAATTAAGGAGCTCATCCAGCGTGGTCACCTACGCTAGTATGTTGCTGGAAGCGAACGAGCACCACAACCTCACAATCAAGAAGATCAGCAGCCTGTGGGGGAGATACACACCATCTCAGGAGGACTAGCAAGAGGGGAAGAGTCCCTTTATGCAATGAAGGCGCACGCTAGAAAGGCAAGGCATGTCAACGAGACGCGCCCATCTAAGGTACCAAAACAGGACGACGACGAGGTCATATCTTTCTCAGATAAGGACCTAGAGGGAATCCAGCACCCCCATGACGACCCCCTTGGTGCTCACCATGACAGTGACCAATTTTAATGTGCGCAGGATCCTAGTGGATAATGGCAGCTCTGCGGATATCCTATTCACAGAGGCTTATGACAAGCTCAACCTGGGCAGGGAGAGGCTGCAGCCTATCAGGTCACCTCTCATTGGATTCTTAGGGGAGAAGGTGTATCCCCTTGGGTCCATCACATATCCTATTACCGTCGGAGTAGCACCCCGAAGCTCCACAGTTATGGTCAATTTCCTGGTAATAGAGTGCCCGTCAGCCTACAACATCATATTAGGCGGCTAGCTCTTAACACATTGAGAGCTGTGCCCTCCACCTACCATCTCGTTCTCCATTTTCTAACCTCAAATAGAGTTGGAGAGGTCAAAGGAGACCAGGTAGCAGCTAGAGAGTGTTATGTCTCCTCTACGAAGGCTAGGAAGCCCCAAGAAGCGTTGCAGGTTGAGGTCCTTGACCCAAGGGATGACTCCACTACAGAAAGAAGAGAACCAGTCGAGGAGCTCACCTCTGTGGTCTTGGATGAGGAACATCCAGACATAAGAATTTACATTGGCTCTTCCCTTTCTGAAGATCTGGTTAGCCTACTAATAGATTTTTTGAAGCGCAACATGGACGTCTTCGAGTGGTCGCATGAGGACCTTGAGGGCATCGACCCAGAAGTGGCCACACACCGTCTCAATGTTGATCCACGTTACAAGCCTGTTCACCAAAAGTTAAGGGGAGCCTCCACTGAAAGGGCCCAAGCTATGGACAAGGAGGTTGGAAAGCTAATAGATAACGGGATAGTAAGAGAAGTAGCATATCCTGAGTGGCTCTCCAACGTGGTAATGGTCACTAAGGCTAATGGGAAGTGGCGCCTCTGCATCGACTTTACAGAACTCAACAAGGCGTGCCCAAAAGATAGTTACCCACTACTGCGAATTGACCTCCTCATCGATGCCATCGCGGGGCATGAGTTGCTCACTTTCTTAGATGTATACTCTGGGTACAACCAGATTAGCATGTATCCCCCAAACCAGGAGAAGACGTTATTCATCACTCCAAAGGGGACATACTGCTACAGGGTCATGCCTTTTGGACTAAAGAACGCAGGAGCAACCTACCAATGGCTGGTGAACAAGATGTTCCACTCTCAAATCGGGCGAACAATGGAGGTATACGTGGATGACATGCTAGTGAAAAGTCTTGCAGTAGTGGACCACATTTATCACCTCCAAGAAAACTTTCAATGTCCTGAGGTCCTATCACATGAAGCTCAACCCTGAGAAGTGCGCCTTTAGTGTGGGGTTAGTCAAATTCTTGGGCTTTATGGTCGACCAGAGGAGAATTGAGGTGAATCCTGACAAGATCAAAGTCATCCCCGACATGAAGTCACCCTCCTCAACCAAGGAGCTCTCGTGCCTCAATGGGAGAATCGCAGCACTAAATAAGGTTGTCTCCAAGTCTGCAGACAAATGTCTCCCTTTCTTCAAGACTCTCCGAAACGCCTTTGGGTGGAAACCTGAGGCAGTGGAGGCCTTTCAAAGGCTCAAAGCCTACTTGACAGCACCTCCCCTCCTGTCACATGCCACTCTAGGAGAAGCTCTCCATCTATACCTTTCTGATTCCTCATTAGCAGTAAGCTCAGTGCTCGTCAGAAATGATAATGGAGTGCAGAAGCCAAGTTATTATGTGAGCAGGGCATACCGAGGAGCAGAGGTCAAATATTCAACACTAGAAAAATTGGCACTCGTTCTTGTCACGACAGCAAAACGACTACGGCACTACTTCCAGGGTCACCGTATAATGGTCATCACGGACCAACCTCTTAAAAGAGTCTTGGGAAAGCTGGACGTATCTGGCAGACTTCTTAAATGGNCGAGGAGCAGAGGTCAAATATTCGACACTAGAAAAATTGGCACTCGCTCTTGTCACGACAGCAAAACGACTGCGGCACTACTTCTAGGGTCACCGTATAATGGTCATCACAGACCAACCTCTTAAAAGAGTCTTGGGAAAGCTGGACATATCTGGCAGACTTCTTAAATGGGCAGTGGAATTCGGGGAGTTCGACATTCAGTACCAACCTAAGACAGCCATCAAAGCACAAGCCCTAGTAGATTTCGTTGCTGAACTCACACCAACAGAAGAGGGGAACAACGAGGATGCCCAGATGCCCAACGGGAACACTAAGAAGCCTAGAAAAGACCCTCAAGCAGGCGCTCAGGTCATGTCGGACGCCCAGGTCTCCTCCCTAGGAGCCCAAACAACCTTCCCTGATGCCTAGGCATCCCAAGCTGCACCTCCAGCTCCTGATGCCCAGGCATCCCAGGCTGCACCTTCAGATGCCCAGACATCCCAAGCTGCACCTCCAGAGGCATCC